TATAGAGAGAGAGAGAGAGAGATGTGAGTTATTATGCGATACTTTACATTTATACAAACCGGACAATCAAATCAGGAGCGCCCATTTGATCATCAACGGTTACAATTTGATAAGTTGTAATTACCCATGATAAAAAAACCAAAAAAGAAAAAAATGGATAGTGGATAAGCGGGTTGCATCGGTTGTATAATCTAGAGGGGTCGTATTTGAACGCCCCTCTATACATTTAATGAATAGGATGTGAATATCGATAAATGTTTGTCTGACATGAATAATTATCCATTTCATTACACTATATTTTAAATAAATAAGTAACAAAACAACATTTATCCTACTTGCAAGTACTGTATAAAAACCCAACCGTCATATGCGACAATCGGTTTCTAACCAATAGGTATATAGTCGATCATCAATTAATCTATTGTCTTATAGAATAACACGTTTTAGATTCAATTATGCTAGATGTTATCGAGTTTATAGGTAAAGAAGTTGATGTCGTTTCAGAATATTATTAGTCATTCCCATCACTAATATATTATATAATATATATTAAAGTAAATTACACGGGTATTACTATTTCTCGGTTAATACTTTGAATGTTTAAGTTTTTAGAGTAAATAATATAATATATTAATTATATGTAAATAATGTTTAAGTTGGTATTACTATTTTCCTGTTAATACTTTGAATGTTTCAAGTTTTAATATTACATTAATCAATCTTTTTCTAAAATTTAATAGTCTAAAAACGAATCATTTGCATTTACAAATTTTTACAATATTATAGCATCTTCAACATATTCTTCAAAAAAAATTCAAAATAGATAATTAAAACTCTATTAAAACCAGGGCTCGAGCTCCCCGCCCCCAGCCAATCTCCCGTTGGTAGGAAAGTCGTTTCGATCCAATCCATTTTTGGGGTCAAATAAAGACAAAAAATGATATGTCAGTGGCCTATAAACCATTAATATCAAGGATTCTTATCGGTGTAAATATGATAAAAAAATGATTCTCTTTCATTGTAATCATTTTTTGTTTACACTCTCTCATGTTTTCTCAGTTTTGGAGAATTTTAAAGAGCATATTGGAGCAAAAATATGCCTAAAATATCTATTTTCTCAATTTTGGAAAATCTATTGAAGATGCTCTTATATTTCGGCCCCCCGGACTACAACGGTTGTGTTCCGTCCCTGCCTCTTAAAATGTTAATCTATATAAAAAATTAAATAAACATATATACCATTAATAAATCAATATATCTCAATGTCAAATATCATCAAAGTAATAAAAGAAGAACTAATGGTGATTATATGGTATTGTGATATTTGAGTATTCATAATTATTCTATTGATACTGAATTTAGTAATCCACATTGATGAGAATTTGATAAAGCAAAATGACGTGACTATATGTGTTTTGTTTTTTTAGCCCACACTCTAAACGAAATACATTTGCATTTTATTATAAATAAAACAACGAATCACTCTCATCTTAATTTTATTACATAATTTTTAAATAAACCAAATTCGTCACCGTGCAACGCACGATGAGAAAAAGACGAGTGTCCTTAAATTCAACAGAAAATAAACAAACATTAAGCAAAAACACATGATAAAAACCCGCTTTTTTGACGAAATATACTTTTTAAGCATATTTTATTCGACCAGAATTWRWAGAAAGATGACCACTTTTTTGCAAAGTRGGTCAAAAAAAAAAAMAAAAARRAAAAARAAAAAAAAAAAAAAAAAGAAGAGAAAAATGCGCAAAAGAAGTTTTTGCTAAATAAGTTGTTATTTAATGTAACAAGAAAGTTACTTGTTTAATGTATCGAAATATATTTTGATTTTAATGTTTTGTTTTTTTTATCTATGTTGATATAATATGATTTTATGTGATTTTGAGAAAGCGATAATGTTTTTATTTTTGAATGAAATATAAATTTGAAAATATTATATAAAATTAGTAAAAAGTTATATCGATATTAGTATCAAATTAATTATTTAAAAGTTCTTGTTTGTGTATTTTTTTAATTCGAATTTTTTATTATAATTTAATTTAACGTAAAATAGTAACTTAATTTAGGTTTAACAATATATATTTTTTTATAAAGATAATAACCAAGTATTATGTTAGAACTCAATAATTATCCTAATTATATTTTAGATTTTTTATATTTTAAAAAAAGATGTTTATCATCTATTTGATTATGTTTATCCGTAGTTAGTTACATGAATTCAAACATAGAGTTTTAATAAGTTGTACTTATGCACAATTTACTTGTAATCTTGAATTTTAAGTAATATGCATTAATAAACAGTACTTTATGCATAAAAAAAGGGTTTTAAGAGTTTTTGTCAAATGCTTTATAATATAGTATAGATATAAATTACAACATTAATTATATTATTTAATTATTCAATATATTTAATAAAATATTATTTATCTCTTATAAAAATCATTTTTAGAGATTTTTTCCAATTTAAAGTAATTTAAGCATCTCTAATAGGTTTTTTTTTTATAATTTCTCTAAGATAATAATCAAAAGTGAAAATCTTTAAATAAAATTATATTTCGCTCAATATATTTTCTATTTTTGAGATTTCAACATTAATTATATTTTTTAAAATATCATATATTTTTATCATCTTTATCTATATTATATTATAAAGTATTTGACATATAAATTTAAAACAGTACTTTTGATGAATCAAATACTGTTTATTGATCTATATTATTTAAAATCCAAAATAACAAGTAAATTATGCTGGTACGACTTATTAAAGGTTCATGTTTAAATTTGTGTAACTAACTTTAGTTAAATATAATTAAATACATGATAAACATCTCATTTTAAATATAAAAAATCTAAAATATAATAAAGATAATCATTGACGTCTAATAAAATATTTAATTATTATCTTTATAAAAAATTATATTATTAAAATGAAAGTAAATTACATTGTTATTAAATCTAAATTAAATTATAATTAAAACAAATTGAATCAAACATATTACACCAAAAACAAGAACTTTTAAATAATTATTTTGATACTAATATCGGTGATTTTTTTCCATTTTCTATGAGATTTTCAAATTTATATTTTATTTATACATAAAAATATTATCGCTTTCTCAAAACCATATAAGACTATTATAAATCGATGGAGATAAATAATAAAAGAAAACATTAAAATCGAGATGTGTCTCGTTGTATTGTACGAGTACCCTTCTAGTTCACTTTAAAATAATAATAGTTTAATCTTATTTGTGGAAATAAATTTAAAAACAATTTATTCCATCTCTATCGAGTTTTATAGAATTTTCTAAATTTGAAATTCTTTCTTAAAGAATCTATTGGAGTAAAATAAAGAACAAAAGCTCTATTTCCTCTTTTTCAAATAATTTATTGGAGTAAAATATACAACAAAATCTCTATCCTACTTTATTTGGAGAATCAATTGACACCCAAAATCAGACAAAAAACCCCAAAATCAGATAAAACTCCCATAATTTTCATATTTTTTATTTTAATGAATATATTAAAGAAAATGAAGATTGCGGGCTCACTTTACAAAAACCATGAGCAAAATCGAGAATTTCTTAAAAAAGGCAACCGTTCTTTTGCAATATGGCCCACAAAAAACAAAAAAATCTATAAAATATACGGTTCGTAAAAGAAGGTTTTTCTGATTTTTTAACCAAATAAATGGTTATTTTGTACTAATTTGAATATTTTCGGTAATTATGTAATAAATCAACTTCAATTCTAGATATTTTTGTGATTAATATAAATTATTATAATATGTCATAATAATAAACTTAGAAAATCTCTAATAGATTTTTCAAAATTTCTGAAAAAGGTAGAATAACTTCTCCATTTTAAAAATTATAATATTATTTATATTATAAAAATATTTAATAAAATATTATTCATCTTTTTTAAACATTTAACATCAATAATTTTTATCTATACTATATTATAAAGCATTTGATAAAAAACTTTCAAAAACCATTTTTCATGCATAGAGTACTGTTTATTGATTCATATTACTTAAAATTCAAGATTACAAGTAAATTGTGCACAAGTACAACTTATTATAGCTTTACGTTTGAATTCGTTTAATTAATTACTGATAGACATAATCAAATAGAGGATAAAAATCTTATTTTAAATATAAAAAATCTAAAATATAATTAGGATAATTATTGAGTTTTAATGGAATCATTATCTTTATAAAAATTATATTGTTAAGTCAAAAATAAATTATTTCGTTATTATACCTAAATTAAATTATAATAAAATTTGAATTAAAGAAATTGTACAAAAAATAAGAACTTTTAAATAATTAATTTGATATTAATATCGATATATTTTTTTCAAATTTTTATGATATTTTCAAATTTATTTTTATTTAAAAGTAATATTATTATCTTTCTCAAAACCATATAAACCATATTATATCAACGATAACAAAAAATAAAACAAAACACTAAAATAAAGATATATTTATCGGCATTGCACGAATATCCTTCTGATTAATCAAAATGATAATATATACAATTGCTCAAAAACTTGTTAAAGCGAAGAATCAGTAAAAAAAAAGCCCCAAAATTTATGTTTTCTTTATTTTAAGAAATTTATTTAATTAGGTGTACTTTTTCAGCTGAATAACCGTAAAGGTCGTTTTCTTCAGATGAAAATCACCAGTTCCAGAGTAAAATACAATATTCAATGCATCAAATACACATCATCAGCGGTATAAATTTCTGAACCTAAAAATTATTGTTCTGTAAATAAGATGAGAGAAAAATAACTGAAACCAGTCCACGCCAGCTTCCAGTCGGCTAAGCCGTTTAAGCTGAAAAGCAGAGAATCGTGGTTGCTTTCTCAGTTCCAGCTAAGACCAGCCAAAAAAGTCAATAACAGAATCATCATCAGTGAAACTTAACCATGGTTAATTGTTAGGTTAAGCTCACACCAGCCGCGCCATTCCCACACAAAAAACCAAAGCCTACCCCCCTCACCTCTCTATTCCTCCTCGTGACACCACCATCATCATCATCATCACTCTCTCTATATTCTCTTTCATGGAGGGACGACTCTGACCTTGCCTGGTCTTCGGTAGCTGTCGCTATCAATTTAGGGTAAATTGCTTCAGTTCTTGAATTTGATTTTGGAAGTTTTTTGTTTTAGATCTTTGGGAAAGGTGTTGTCATGGCGGAGGGAGGGAAGAGTGGACTGATATTGAAGCTAATTGATATTGTGAATGAGATTTCGGCAATATCGGATTATCGATGTACGGTGAGGAAGCCGTTTTTCAACCTAGCACGAAGGTTAAAGCTTTTGAGTCCACTGTTTGAAGAGATTCGTGATATCAAAGACTCTCTTCCTGATGATTCTTACCGATCTTTGCTTTCGTTGATGGAGGCTTTGGAATCTGCTAAGGAGTTGCTTCGATTAGGGAGTGAAGCCAGCAAGATTTATTTGGTACATTTCTATAAATCGAATCTATTCGTTGACTTTTGGGTTTTTTTTGTTTTTGTTTTTGTGTTTATTTCCGGGTTCTGATTATTTTTTGTACTTCTTAGCTCTTAGTTTGGTGGGAGAACGCAATATTGGTTTCTGTTCGACATCAATTTCTAAAATCTATGGAAATTTAATGCTGATTTTGTTGTTAACATACTGAAAGAAGGGGTCAAAGAATCGTTGGAAGACTGGAATCAACCTAGGGTTTTAAATCTTAATGGTTTTTTTGTCTGCTTACACGATCTGGTTGATGCTTTTTTATAGAAAGAGAAGATCTAATCAAATTATCCGGCAGCTTAAACAAGCCTAGGGTTTAGTAAATGTTTTCTTGCTACGATCAGCTTGAACTCAATAATTTGGTAGAACTTACATATTATGTTTTGAAATCTATTGTGAAATAGTCTAATCCTTATTAAGATTTGTCTTGTTTGAAGGGTCGTTATGCAAATAATAGCATCAAATTTATTTGTTGTGCTGTACTTGATTCAGATAACAAAGAGTACTTTTTGCTACTGGGATGTTTGTATGCATGACTCATGCTAATTATTTGAATTTGCTATGGGTAGTAAACTGGGTTATCAACACCATCTGGATCGAACCACTTCCCTTTCTGTTCTTGGAAACTAGATTTCCTCATTGCTATTGTTAACTTAGTCTAAATTTTCCTAATGGAGTCACTTCAGTCTATCGTCTAGATTTAAAGCTGATATCTGTTTTTGGTCCATGACAAATTTACCTTAATTTCCTTATTGCTTAATTTGCATCTACCATTTGGATGGTGTAGTGAACAAATATGATAAAGTGGTTATTATGTATATTTAGGATCAGCTCTCTACGAGTCATATTTATGAAAGATTTTGATTATTAGAGCTTTATAAAGGCTGTGTCATCTTTCCCATTTGGTAATTCTGCAGAAACAAACCAAATTTTGTTGGTTCAGAAGATCTATAGGATATTGAGAAGAAGCGTTAACATGATTCTCGATCCATAAGTTAAAATATAACTTTCGGAGTTGAGAGGATTTAGCATTAGTGATCCTATATGGTAGTGTGCCTTCCTTACCAACAACACATAAATTCTATCACTTTTTGATTTTTTGTGTACCTTTCCTAAACGTTTGCTGCAACCATCTAATGAATGGCTGGAAGGTATGTAGAAGAAAAAATAGAACCAGATGTCACATGTGTATGTATAGGGTGTAATTGTGGGAAAAATGGTTTGGTTCAGAAGTTCAAGGACGTCTGAAGGAAGGTACATGATCTTAATCTTTGCCTTCTCTACATAATGAAGCTGGCTGGCTAGAAGGTTGAGAGCCTTGAAGTTTGAGAGTCTGAGGATGTCAAGTATGCAGTTCGATTGTTTGCAGGGTTGGGTATTGGTTACTTGACCATTAGCTAGCACTTCCCTGTGAGTTTACATCTAGAGGTAATCAAGAAACACATGAATACAATTTCACTTGGACCATATCCCATTGTGATGGTTTCAAGAAAAATGACTGACCTATTTCCCGAATTGGAGAGAAGATGTTCACCTAACATTCTTATAGTGACATGGAGCAGTAAAAGAAAGCCTTAGGAACTAATATTCCATATTTGTAGGCTAGCACTTCGGATCCCTTAGTACATCTTAAATGACTCAAATCCATCATGTTATTATTTAGTTAACCTTCACTTGTTGAGAAAGCAGATGAACCAAATTTAAATTGGCGACTTCTGATATGTAGCCACTCAAAATCTTTTATTATTTTATATAGTCGAAAGCGTGCAAGTGAAGATCCTGCTTCATTCTTTATACCCGATTTTTTTATCATCTTTTCTGTTTATCTTTCTTAACAGTTTATAATGTTCATATGGGTTTCACATGGACTTCGTCTTATGGGGCACACACTGTACCGTGGGGTGGTATTTACGCCAAAAATCAACTTAACTAGGGTTGTAGGATTTTCCAACCTCTTGAGGTTGGCCGAATGAATGCTTATGTGCCAAATTCTACAATGGAGTTTTGTCTCAGATTGAGGATCAGATTAACTATACATGGTTGGAGCACGGCATAACTTTCTATAAATGTATAAATTACTTGATCTGTATCATGACTCCCTTAAATTGTGAATATATTAAATTAAGACTTGACTGCCAAATAGTTCAAAGTCCAAGCAGGAAATTTTGACTTGTAGTAACTCTGACACTATCAAGATTGACCAAAATAGTATGTTAACTATTAAGCAAAAAAAAAAAACTGCTCTTAGGCCAGTCCTGGATGTCAGATGGAAACCGTCCTTGAATATGTTGCTTTTGTGCATTGATTGATTGAGTTGTCCTTATATGCATATGTGTATTACTTGGTGGTGGTGGAATGGTTCATGTAAATTGATCCATCTATGGTTTTAGACCAGAATCTCTGAGTAACCAACCTACAAACAGTTTGAACTACTTTTGGAGTTTCTGGCTAAAGTTACTGCAAGTTGAATGCTTTCCTTGTTTCATCTTTGCACGTACCTCTTATCTGCATGTCCCATAACTCATAAACCAGTGAGGGCTTATTCAAAACATTGTAATTTAAAAATGGATTTCCCTTGCTGCAAGAAGAATGCGTTTTTCTTTTGTACCTAAACATAGCATACTTCTCAGCAGCACATTTTTCCTGTGATTTCTAAAGCAACAAGGCCACCATTTAATATCTGTAATACCATATCTAGTTTCAATAAAGAAAAATATCTTACTTTTTCCTAAAATATAAACAAACTAGCACTATTTCTTGCATGCCTATTGGCAAATCCTCTCGTACATGCTAGTTATGGCTTCTCACTGCTCCATAAAAATGAAAGGAACCCCTTTGTTTGTTCTTTTGTTTACTTCGGTCATCAATGTTTCAGAAGCAAATTTTATGTTTCATATTCTGTATCATTTATACCAACTTACGATCTCCAGGAACTTAATTAGGAAGGCCGAGTGTGATTGGTAGGCTATTCTTTTACATCGTATATCGAATCGCTTCTTTCAGTCAAATTTGATCGAAGTCAACGCAGTTGTTGAATGTTTTTCCATAACTCTTGAAGAAAGAAGAATTTACTTACAAAGTGTTTCTCTGCCTGCAGGCGCTGGAGAGAGAAGAAACCATGAGAAAGTACCAGAAAGTTACAGCTCGTTTGGAGCAAGATTTAGATGGCATTTCTTTTGAAAAACTCGACATATCAGATGAAGTTAAAGAACAGGTTAAAATTTTATTCCTCTATATCCCTGATCAAAACAAGAAACAAGCAGGCCCCAGAAACCTAAAAATACTGCAGATAGGTTCTTACCTCCAACATCTGATTATTGTTGTTTTATATCAGGTTGCACTTGTTCTTGCTCAGTTCAGAAGAGCTAAAGATAGAATCGATGCACCAGATGCTGAGTTGAGTGAAGATCTTTCATCCCTTTACAACAAAGGTAGTGATGTGGTGGCAGATCCAGCTGTCTTAAGGAGATTAGTTGAAAAACTGCAGCTGACGGGAATACATGATCTCACACATGAATCACTAACGTTGCATGAAATGGTTACTACTAGTGATGGTGATCCAGGAGAGACAATAGAAAAGATGTCAATGTTACTAAAGCGAATCAAGGATTTTGTGCAGACGGAGAATCCAAACGTAGATTCACCACCCGGGGAAACCTCTGCTCCAACGACTTCAAGTGGACATGAAACTTCAGTGAAAAATCACAAGGGTACAGTTATACCTGATGATTTCCGTTGTCCTATATCACTTGAGTTGATGAAGGATCCTGTTATCGTCTCAACTGGGCAGGTAATGCACCATCATCTTTATCTCAGAATCTTCTCTCTCAACACACATAGCAGCTGTGTAAGATGCTAAATATATCTAAATGTCTTTGATAGAATAGATTATTTATAGGACTTAAGTCGTCTTGTAAATGTGTTACGATAAGTTGGTAGGATGCTTTTGGGTGTCCTTTCAAGTTTTTTAAGGACAATTTGAAATATAACGTGTTATGAGTCTTTTTATATGCCATTTTTTTTTTGAAAAAAAAATGTCTTGTAAAAACAAGCGTCCTAAAAGAGATGCTTTCATAGGACACTTTTATCTAAGACGTTAGACATCTTAGGTGTCCTGTAAAGCGGGTTTTTTTGTAATGTACATAAGTTAAAGACAACATTCAGATGCTGATCACAAATATCTTACCATTTGTGTAGACTTACGAGCGCTCGTGCATAGAGAAGTGGTTGGCAGCAGGTCACGGCACATGCCCCAAAACACAGCAAAATCTGACGAGTACTGCCCTCATACCCAACTACGTATTACGTAGCCTCATAGCCCAATGGTGTGAGAACAATGGAATGGACCCACCACAACGTTCGGTTAGGTCCTCTTCTGCCTGCACCCCTGCAGAACGTTCCATGATAAACGTTCTCCTCTCGAAGCTCAAATCCGTCAGTCCTGATGACCAAAGGACTGCTGCCGGTGAAATCCGCCTCCTTGCAAAAAGAAATGCCGATAACCGTGTCGCCATTGCTGAAGCTGGCGCCATCCCTCTTCTCACACACCTCCTGACTGCACCAGATTCCCGCACACAAGAACATGCAGTCACCGCTCTCCTCAACCTCTCCATTTGTGAGGAAAACAAAGGTAGCATCGTATCCTCGGGGGCGGTCCCCGGGATTGTTTTAGTGCTAAAGAAAGGCAGCATGGAAGCACGAGAAAACGCAGCCGCCACCCTCTTCAGCCTGTCTGTAATCGACGAAAACAAAGTAACAATCGGGTCTTTAGGAGCAATCCCGCCTCTTGTGTTGCTGTTAAGCGAAGGAACCCAAAGAGGAAAGAAGGACGCTGCAACCGCATTATTTAACCTCTGCATATATCAAGGCAACAAGGGGCGGGCAGTGAGGGCAGGCGTAATCTCGACTCTGATGGAGCTGTTAACGGACCCACAAGGGGGGATGAAAGATGAAGCATTGGCGATTCTGGCGATACTCTCGAGCCATCCGGAAGGAAAGATAGGGATCGGGAAAGCGGATGCGGTTGGAGTGTTGGTGGAGTTTATGGGAAGTGGGTCACCAAGAAACAAAGAGAATGCAGCTGCTGTTTTGGTGCATTTGTGTTCAGGAGATGAGAAGTATCTGGTGGAGGCTCAAGAGATGGGGGTGATGGGGGTGCTGGTGGATTTGGCACATCATGGTACAGACAGAGGGAAAAGGAAGGCTGGACAGTTGTTGGAAAAGATAACCAGATTGACAGAAAAACAGAAGTTGTTACAGCAGGAAATGGAGTCAAATAACAACTAGTAGCTCTGCTCTGCTCTGCTCTGCTCTTCTCTTTTATAAATTTGAGGTAAATTATTAATGAAGGTGGTGTACAAGGGGAAAGGTGGAATCCCCCACCCCTTAGATTCCATTTTTATTTTTATTTTTATTTTTATAAATATATATTTTTTTAAAATTTATGTTCTATGAGGATTACAAATACATGAAAGGGAATATGTAAGTGGTGCTAATATTATCCTCAGTTTTAATGGAAGGATATTCTCTTTGTTTTTACTTGTGGATTTTTAGTTTCACTTTCGGTGTGAGTTGGTGTTCAGTATGGAGGTACCTCTTCACTAGGGCTCTGCGCCCGTTCCTTAAGTTCTTGACCCARTGCCAGGTGATTGGCTAACCGTGCCCCTTCCTTGGAAGGTAAGAGAGGGACAGATGGATCTGATTACAAAATCAAGGGACAAATACTGGATTGGATAAAAAGCATCAGCTTTGGAAGCTGATACGCCAATGGTTGGAAGGGAAGGTAAGTGCCGTGGCATCCAAAGACTGGTTGCTTGATTGGACCCTCTTTATACTAAGAAAGAGAAAGGATTTCAGCAAAGATGTTCAGACCTTTTGACGGGAATTCCTTCTTTTCTCTTTGAAGTGCCCTTGTGAACGAGGCAGAAGAAAAAGAGCGAAGTTCTTCTCTTAAGGTCATAACAAAGAGAAAGGAACAACGGCGTCGTGGCTAGAACTTAATGTTTCATGTTTGATGTTACATGGGCCAAAAAATATTTTCCTTTTGGTTTATTAAGATGAGCTCAAACTAAGGGAGTGTTTGGGATTGCTTATTTAAACTGTTTATTGACGTATTCTGGTGGGGTACTGACAATAAGCAATTTTTAGTATTTAGATGGGGAAAGGAAAAAAATGCTTATATCGGTGCTAAAATGATAATAAGGAGTTTTTGATAAGTTAACTCCTCTCTAACTATTCAATTTTTTAGCTTCGGAAACCAATTTACCTTTTTAACCATAAACCTACCTTCTCCATTCCAGCAACCTACCTTCTCCATTCGAGCGACCAGTGAAGCTACCTTTACTTGCAAATCCATAAAACCTTCACCTGCAAAATCAAAACTGACCATCTGCAAAATCAAAATCCAAATCCAAATCAAAATCAAAAATTGATATAAAAAATCGAAATCGACCTCCAACTCAAACCTGTTTTTGGCCAACAATCAAACACTTGGTCCCTATTTTTGGCCGATGAGCAAACCCTCGATCAAAGCCTTGGTCCCAGTTTTTGGCGGATGATGGGGACCTCTGCAAATCAATCAAACCCTTGGCCGACGATGGGATATTTTCATGTCCTTTTTGGTCATTTACATGTATAAGCAAAATTTACCAAACACTAAAAGACAACTTATAAGCTTATTGCATTTTGGTACCGCCAAAAGCTAATCCAAGCACTTTTTATAAAATTCGGTTTGACACCACGTAAGTTAATAAATACTTTTTATAAAATTCGGTTTGACACCACGTAAATTAATAAACACTTTTAAAAAAAACATAAATTGTTTTAAAATAAGCAATCTCAAACACCCCCTTAAAGTCATTTTTATTTGATACATAACCATAATATAATATTCGCTTTAATGTGATCGCATCGACCACCTCCAACAACGTAATGACCACCTACACCACCTTCAGCTACCACCTCCACATTATATCATACCTCCACCTCCACCTCCACCTCCACCTCCACCTCCACCTCCACCTCCACCAGTTGATACAGATCAAGAAAATCACAGGCATTCATGTTGGGAAAGAGTGAATGAATACTCCTTCCCATTTTTCCTTATTACCCTAAATTATGGGAGCTCAAGCTTCTTCATTTCAACTTGTTCGGTTCAAGTGGGCTTTTCACAACTTTATTCAATTTGGTGATCTTGAGATCAAAGTTGACGGCTCTCGTGGGTTTAGCTCTGTTCTGGTTTTCATTAAGTCAAAATACATGTCCAGATGTCCTTGAATTGAGCAAGTGCATCTTGAGGTTATGTATATAGGTTATCACTAACAATTCAGAAGCTCTTTTGAACATAAATTAAGTTGATCTGTCTTCAAGAACAACATCCTGTGAGTCTACTTCAATATTCTCCTCTGACCCAACAAATGGATGGCTAGATTCAGCAAGTACTTTAATGGTTGAGACATTTGAATTTCTGGTTGTGTAGAACTAGAAATCAGAGGAAAAAGACCAAAATACCCCTCATTTAATAGATGAAAGTTAAAGGCCGTAAGTGGGATGGACCAAAACCGAGCAAAAAGGCATACCGCAGGGGGTGAATTTGCAATACAAATCTGTAGGAACCTAAACCAAGAACAATTGACATAGCACAAGGACCAGAAATGCAATTTACTCTATTGTTTTTAGTATAGACTTCTTGGAAAGTATTTTAACGATACTTTTTTTCGTTAAAAAAATGTCTTTAAAAGAAGCAATCAATTAAGTACCGTCATAAAAGCCTAACAGGAGAAATTGCGTTTTACGTACTATTATATTGTTCAACTTTATTCTATCAACTTATTGTTTTATAATTGATAGAACCAGTTGAATCGTCTAACTTCATCCAAATAGGTTATGTTATCTTTGACATAAAAATTGTTGATTATCTAAAATTAGAAGTCCTATTAAAACAAGGGTGGTGCCTGATTGGTTTGAGTTTGGCTCCAAAGGTCAAAAGTACCAGAAGGTCTCAGGTTCAAATCCAAGGAGGAATAAAAATCCCTTTGTGGCCACGGAGGTTCAAATGCGGTGACTCCGGGCTATCTGCAAAGCAGGTGTGGTTGTCCTAGGATTAGTCGGCTCGCATAGCGGGTTGGATATACAGGTTAATAAAAAAAAATTGAGTTTCTGAATATTCTAACTTTTAAGTGCATTTTAGAAAGCAAAACGCCTTCCTAACTCAGCTCAGGACTTCTATGAAGAATAACTTAGAAGCCTCTTCATGTTCCGAAGCTCTTACTTTATGTTTAAAAGCGCTTCGACTCTGAATATCTTTTGATCCATGTTTGATCTTACCCACATACAGTTGTTTCATGACTGTTGTGCAGTTAACAAAACTCGTAACTGTCATCTCTCATATAAATATGTAAAATGTTGAATTTGGGTGTATATAACGAACTCCATATATATTCTAACGAATACCTGGTTTCATAAATATATTGATTGTTTTCTAATATAAAATGTTGATCTTAATTACAACACTTTAATCATTTTTCATAAATATTTAAATTATAATATTATGAATTTTTATCATTTCCATAAATATTTTAAGTAATTAGTTTATATTTGATTTGTCCTCTCTCTCTCTCTCTCTATATACATATATGTGTGTGAGTATATATATATATATTCTTATCTTTTTTATCATAACTTTTATTTTTACCGAGATCCAACATTGTATACATACACACTCATTCGCTAGACCAACTAATTAATACTAACGTTATAAATTCATCAGAGTCGTTCATTTTTTTTCATCAACGACTATGGTGTAATTGGAAGTCATAAATTGATGAAAAAGTAAAGAAACTAAATGGAAATATTAGAACAAATAATGTTTAATTTTTATAAGATAATCATTCACATTTATTCATAAAATTCTGTGATATCTCCCCTCAAATCCTCCCATTACCCTCTCATACAAACCACCAGATGTCGGCTTCCCACATGGGTTTGGTAGATGGGTGACTCAAGACAAGTATGTTTCCATGGATACATGAATTTGGTAGATGAGATATCTGCAAAGTAGGTGGTCGTTCTGGGATTAGTCGGCTTGCATAACGGGTTGGATATCCAGGTTAATAAAAAAATATTTTGAGAGAACAAATCAAGATTATGGTTTGTTTTTATAGTTAACAATTCATTTTTGTTTGAATTCAATTTAAGTTTTTGCTTTGCATTCGATTGTTCTTTAAATTTGATTTATATTGATTTTGTATCATAAAATGATAATAAATTTGATTTAGAAACCTGAAAATTTGTTCATCATGTTATTATATGGTGTTTGTTTAAAGTTTATATGTCACTACAAAACAAATGACTTTTACCTACAAAAATCACCAGGAAAATTTCCGTCAGTAATGACGGATTACCTAGAAAATATCAACGGTTCTGTAGATTCTGATGTTTTTCAACAAAATTCCAACGGATCACCCAGAAAATGTCTGGGTAATCTGTTACTGTTTTGAATTACCCACCAACAATTTAACCACTAGCTTTTGTGATAATTTTGTGAAGAATCACTCTTTAGAGACGGATTTCCCAGGGAAAAGACCCTAGGTAAAAGTCATTCGTTTGATAATGAGTGTTGTTTCATCTATGAATTTTGATTGTTTTGATATTTTTTTACCAAAGTTCATAGGTGAAACTAGAGAAGTTTACACGTAAACAATGGTTAATTTTTGTTTAAAGTTCAGAATGTTGTTTTTGGTTTTAATTTTTTTTGTTTAAAATTCATAATGTTGTTTCGTGTATCAACTTTGGTTGTCCCAATTTTTTTTTTACCAAACTTTATAGTTGAACTTGAAATTTAATTATCGCGATTTGTATGGTAATTTGTTTCAAAATGATAAATGAATGAGATAATTAAGGAATGTGATATATGTATATGAAACAAACAAAAATACCTCAGTTAGCACAGTTCGTACTAATTATGCGGTTAACAAAAGAAGATGTATTTTTTATGTATGTATGTATGTATATATATGTATATATATATATATGTATATATATATATAT